GCACTGCCAACACAGTGGAGGCATTAAGAGAGGCATTGTAAAAGACACCATTTTCTCAGAAGCTACAATTACTGGAGTTAGAAGCATAGAATGAACAATATTAGGACCAAAGAAAATTATACAGAGGTAGCGGAGTTGGATTTTCGTCCATGTTGTCACAGGGCCACAACGTCTCAGTACTTGCGTATGTTCCCAATAGTCAACCTTTTTTCCTTCTTGGAAAACAGAACCCCTTTCTTCTGTTCAGATCCATACCTCCCTTACTTCATGCTGCCAACTTCCTTGAGCACAGCAAATGGTTGGCTTTCAGTTACTAACTAACTAACTGCAAGGTTGGTGGTTCAGAGCCAGTGGTGCTGCAGAAGAAAGGTTTGGTGTTCTGCTTCTGTAAAGGTTACAGCCAATGGAGTACAGTTCTACTCTGATGCCCAGGGGCTTACCAGGAGTTGGCAGTGGGTGTATTCGTTTTGCGTCCACTATGCAGCCACCATTCCAGCAGTGGACATAGTGATTGCACACTCTGAGTTCTCTTGAGAGAGTTCATACAGATGCTACAGAGAACCAATCAAAAAAGCATTCTTTTCTGTGGTGAATGGCTGGAACCTGCCTTAGAATACAACAGAGGAAAGTGGAGTAAGAGAGAGAGATATAATTTTAACCTTTGGATCCATGTGACCCAGCCCCACTCTTTGAACTTTTCAGTTATATGAGCCGATAAACGTCTTCCTATTCTTTTTATTTTCCTTTTGTTTTTGTTTTTTTTTTTTTTTAAAAAAAAAGCTAGTTAAAGTTAGATTTCTCAATGTATTATTGAAATAATTCTGACCCAAGTACCTATTCCTACTTTATGCTAGGAATTGGTGTGGGGCAGGGGAACATTAGGAGAGAAGGAGCCTTAGGTCTGAGAGGTTAATCACCAAATAGACCAGATTTGAAACCAGGCTCTGCCACTTCGATTCCGTGATGTTTGCCAAGTTATTTGACCCGCCCAAGCCTCAGCTCCACATTTGTAACAGGAAGAGAATGAACAGGTCTTCCTCAGAGGATTTCTGTGAAAAGTCAATGAAACTTCTTATAGGTGATTCTCCAGGAGTTATTGGTTCCCTAAGTCCTGAGGGATGGGGTCCAATGGGCCCTGGGACAGCCGGAACTCCCAACTGTCTCTCATTCCTCAGTGCAAAGTACAAGTTTACCCCTTTCTACGTGTGCCAAGTTTTGGGAAATGTTAGGGAACACGTCCTTAGCACCATGCTGGCACAGAGCAAACTCTCAATGTTCATGACTGTGTGCCTACACGTCATGAATACCTCTGGGAGGGGGAAGTAATATGGGCAAGGAGCAGGGCTCACACACCAACACGGTAGCTGGTCTTGATGGATGAGCCATTGCTTGCCCAGTAAAGAAGGTGTGGAGGGGCATCACGTGGAAAGTGGGTGAGGGCAGAGTATTCGGAAGATGGTCAGAGTGAAGTGTATCTATGTATCTCTAAGTGTGTTTGGAATGACAGGCTAAGTCAACTCTGAAAAGATCTACACAGCTGGTCTAAGAATCTCACCTCTATTTCCACCCCCTCCCCCATTATGCAATGGAAAGACAGAAGTTGGAGGCGGGAATCGCAGGAAGACTTGTGGTCCGTGGGAAGCCTGAAGGGGAATTCTGTCATGTTGCCTGCCAAGACTTAGAGAAACTTTTCTTAGAAAGGATCCTGATGTCCACATGTTTCCTTGTAAAGATGTGCTGTGACGTAGAATCTTCTTCCAGAAGGAATCTGACTACCTTCTGAGAATCCAGTAGAATTTCTCATTTGGGAAACAAAGCAACCTTATGTTGCCTTTGTCCAAAAAATGCCCCCAAATATCAGTGTTCTTTGGAAGAAGTCAGGGCTTGAATGGGGATAGTGGTAAGGCCAATGGGGATGGAACCTAAGGTGAACCAACTTTACAAGGTGCTTGGAATTTGGGTAAATAGCCACTGGTGATGGAATTCATGTGCAGAATCCCTTGAGTGAACCAGTCAGCATCCATAGCTCTGTGACCTTGGAATTCTCAACCGGGAGTGAACCAGCCACAGATATGACTCCTGACCTATATGTTTTTAGACCATTGATACATAGTTTTAGAAAAAAATTGAATTAGATGTCCACCCAATTTCATATAAACATATCTGGATTGAGGGCAACATTTAAAAAGACTGATACTCCATTTCCACATGTCCTTAGTCTTTTGGAGCCAAGTGGTGGTTGTCCCCTTTAGATGGCTCCATCTCTCCAGTTTTCCACAGTTTCCACCATTCTCTATTGCTGCTTATCCAACGGCCCCGGTCCAGCTGCCCTTTATTGTTGAGCTTTTGCTATTGTTTTCCTATAGCAGAGTAAAGGAGAAAGTGAGCACTTTCTGGTGCCGAGATACCCATGAACAGTAAGAAGACAAAATAGAGTGAGGCCCGCATCTCCTTTGTGAACGGATCTCTCTGTATGTTCAATATGCAAACAATGTTTAAAGAACGCAAGTTAAGACCCTACCATGAGCACATGTGTTCTGCTTCAGTTTATGTTAACAGCTGAGCCCCACTAGGAAATTTCATTTCAACCTTCAAGAAAGTGACAACCTTAAAGTGTCAGCAATTTGTAGATTAGAAAGTGGAGGATCAGAGAGGTTAAGAGGTTTGGGAAAGGTCACACAGCTAAACAAATGCTGTAACCGAGATCTAACTGAGGTCTTTCTGGCACCGAGACACTGTCTGTAGAAGGATGCCTGAGTGACAGCCCTGCTCTGGATCCAAGGGCAAATATTTTAACAGAAGTCCCCAGATCAAGAATTTCCTCTTTGTCAAACCTTCAGGGCCCACCCCAATAATTTCAGTTGGCACGGTAAAAGCAAGGACTTAGAAGCCACTTCAGTCATTCATTTCCCCAAATATGTAAAGAAAGGGGCAGGTAGTATGAGATGGAACCATGGGAACAGAGTCTTGGGTTTGAATTCTGAGCTGCATCTCTATGTAGATCTGTGATCCTGAACCTACAGGTAAGGATATTCGAGTTCCCATTTCTCCATCTATGAAATGGGAAGAGTCCTAATAGGACCACAGTGACGGGAATCAGATGAGAGCCGACACGGTGTTTGGTAGCTACGAGTTTGATTCTGACTCCCCTGAAGACAGCACTGCTGGGGTCTTCACCCCATCCAGGAAGGTACTTTGCAAAACTGAGTCATGCTTCTATCTTGGTGGCAAAGTGGAAGGGAAGGGCTTGAGAGAAGTAAGTCTAAAGACACACAGGTAAGCATTTCTGGAGATTCGAGCCAGCAAGTTGTCAGAAAGAAATGCAGAGGGGGTGGGGCTGGGAGGAGCGAGAAAAAACTCTGGCAGGTAGAGATGTGTTGTAATAGTTCCGCTGTCTTACACTTTTAAATAACCGTCCCCGCCTCACACCGCAGAGCCCTTGGCTTGCATCTGCTGCAAGCCTGCACGTTCACGCTACCTTCTAGGATTACACAGGTCCTGAAGCCTCAGAACCAGGTAAGACCTGAACTTTCTTGATAGTATCATTACCTGGCTCCTGCCTGCTCCACACAAGAACATTCAATTTCTTGGGTCTGGAACCTTTCGGGGACTTGGTGGGACTGAGTTCCCTAAACCGTGAAAATGTGTGGGTCTTCATCTGGCATATTTGGCTTCAGTCTCAGACCTTCATTGCTGATAACCCACTTGCATGATTCTCCTCTGTCCGCCTCCATCCCTCCCCCCCCCCCCCCCCCATTCTAAGGGGAGGCGATACACACAGGGTGGAAATAAAATCAAGGCCATTTCCTGGACCTGTCCCCTTTTCAGGCAAAATTTGTGTATAGATATTTTTCTAAATGGAGAGTGGGTTATCTGAAATATCTTATCATGGTAAACTGTGCCCAACGAAAACTGATAAGAGTTCATAATGACTTTTTACATTTCCTGCCAACATTTTTCAAAGCACAGATTAAAAGGGAAAGGCAAGAGCTGATTAAAGAGAGGTGACTCTGGGTCCCACAGTGCCTTGTCACTATGTTTACCTGTCTGAGCCTTCACTGCTACATCTGTTACTTGTGGGTGCTGATGTTAATAGACACCCAGTAAGGTTCTCCTGTGGATTAATCAAGGGGAGACTCAAATGCTGGACCAGTGTTTGGTTGTTGTTGCTGTGTGTCGCTGAGTCAATTTCTACTTGTAGCCACCTTAAGGACAGAGCTGGGTTTTCAAGGCTGTACTTTTTTGGAAGCAGATGGATACTTCTTTCTGCTAATCTTTTGGTTAACAGCTGAGCCAAACCAATTGCTAGTAAGTTGACTCTAACTTCGGGGACTCCGTGTGTACAGGGTAGAATCCAGCATCCTAGGGCTTTCAAAGCTGTGTCCTTTAGATAGTATATTGCCAGGACTTTCTTCAAGCGTACCTCTGAGGGGGGGTTCTAAGTGTCAACCTTTCAGTTAATAGCAGAGTGTCCAGTCATTAGTGTGTACAACACTAATCTGTTACAATTGAATGGATTCCAGCTCATTGCAGTCCTATATGACAGTGTTGTTAAGTGCTGTCGAGTTGGTTCCGACCCATACTAACCCTGTATAGCATTTCCAAGAAGTGTCTGGTGAGCTTAAACTGACAACCTTGTGGTACATTTATACTCCAGTGCATTAGCCCGCAGCGCCACGCCAGGACTCATATGACATACTAGAACTACCCTATAGGGTGTCCATAGCTGTAAATCTCGACAGAAACAGACTATCACATTTTTCTCCCATGGAGCACCTGGTGGGTTCAAACCACCAGTCTTTCTGTTAGCAGCTTAGCTCCTTACACACTTCTTACGTCCTTTCTCAAACTATGACAACGTGAGTCCAGGCAGAATTGCAATGTATAAACCAAGCATGTTTGGAGCTGAGAGAGACACAGTCATTCTTTCATCCAGCACCTTGATTTCCAGGTAAGGGGACTGAGACCCAAAAGGGTAGAGTGACAAGTGGTGGAGTGTTGGAACTGATTCCCTACTCAATGCTTCTTGAATTCCTCTAAGCCATTTGAGATCTGAGACTTTTAAAACCACTTAGATGCCCAACATCTAAGGACTCTTGATGGCACAGTGGGCTAAGCATTGGAATGCTAACTGAAAGGCACCCAAAATCTTTGAACCCCTTAGCCCCTCCCATGGGAGAACAATGACGCAGTTCACTTCCATACAGATTAACAGTCCCAGAAACTCTGTGGGGCAGTTCTACTCTGCTCTACAGGGTCCATAGAAGTCAGACTGGACTCAAAGGTGGTGGCTTTGGTTTTATGAATGTTCAACATCTAGCCTGGTACAGAAACGTAGTGGGGATTGCTTGGTGAAGGACGAACCAAGGAGTGAGCAAAGACAGGAGTGAATGAGTGAGAGCCATTGAGGTTCAGAGAATGAGTCAAGGAAGGGAGGAAGGAATTGGAGTCTTTCATGAGACTCAAAGTGCAAATCAAGTGGAACTAGGAACAGGCGGGTTGCTGGTCTGGTCTTCCCGGGAGCAACGAGGCTGTAGCTTCACTGGAAAAGCAGGAAGGTCCGTGCCAGGGTGGGAGGCAGGGCCAGCCTGCAGCCCTGTTCTGCTGAACTGTTGCCCAGGTCTGACTCACCTGTCGTTTGTCAAACAGGTTCCCGCCAAGTTATAACCATGAAGGCCCAGAGCCTTGCCCTGCTGTCCTGCCTCCTTCTGGCCTCCCTGGCACTCTTGGTGGAAGGCAAAAAAGAACAAGACAAAAAGAAGGGGCATAGCCCAGGGCATAGGAGCCAGCCACGCATGCGCAAACCTCGGGGCCACTTTCGCACCCCAGACCAAAAGGAGTGCCGATGGGCTGTGGTGGAGGAGGGAGACAATGCCATGCTGAAGGTTGAATGCTCCGGAAAAGATAATCAATTCTCCTGTTTCTTTGCCGGCAAGCCTCACTCATGTCCAGAGTTTACCAACAAAAAGAGGGTCTACTGGAGACAGATTGGCCGGTCCCTCGTACGGCAGACAAACATCTGTAAGGACTCCCAGACCATCCTGAAGACCAAGTTGTGCAGAAAGAAGTTTCCAGAAGCCCATCTCAAGATGGTGAACTCTACTCTGATCAAAAAGAAGGACACTGAGGCCAAAGGGATGACCACCACCACCCGAACTCTGGCCAGTGGGAGCAGAGAGACCATCCCAGCAGAAGGCCAGCAGCCAAGCCTGGGCATCAGTGGCCCCGAGTGTGAGCAGGACCCTGACATCCAGTACCAGAGGACATTGATTCAGGAGTACTGCGGAGATTCCTGGGCTTCTTTCTGCCAATTCTTCCTCGCTATAGTACAGGACAAGCCATGCTACTGAGGCCAAAGAGAACGGAGTCTGTCCAATCCAGTGCCCATCTGAATACTGCAAAGCCCTCCAAAGTCCCCCAACATCGGAACTGTGCAGCACAGTATTTATCTTTTGTTTTGTGTTTCAGCATTTGCTGTACAGTTATTCCCTTGGATGTGAGATTTTATACATTCCCAGGACCCATTATACGTATATGAGCAGGAGAGCCCGTCTTTGAACTGAACTTACCAGAATGATGATGTATTTGGCATAGTGTATTTTCTCCTGAAATAGCTAAGATAATAAAACTCTGGACATTTTTCAGAAACACCTTCAGCCGTTGTTTGATTTCTCTATGTCTGGTTACAAATGAACTCACGACTTATTCTAAACAGGCCACCACTGATTAGGAGGGTAAACATTTAAGGAATGATTTCTTGCTTCTCCATTCCACCCCTCCAAAGTAAACCCCTAACATAATCAGTCATTTTATTTAGTACTCTGTGGTGTATGATACTTTGTTTGTAACGGTTCTTCCAAATTCAGAAACTCTGTCTTGGAGGAACTGATTTCTGACCAGGAGGGAGAGAGGTCTGGCCAGTGAGGGCCACAAAAGAATAGAGAGACAGGTGGTATGGAACACATGAGAGAGGAGAGAAAATCTGCTCCAAATCTGGGCTCGGGCTTCATGGAAAAGATGATATTAGAGCTGGATTTTGAGAGGAAGATAGGAGTTCTTGCGGTAGAAAGTGGAAGAGAGGAAGCTGGTAGAGATGGGTAGCTCTGTAATACAGGGATAAGACTTATGTTAGTCACTTACAACTTAGTACGAAGTAAGGTTATACCAAGCCGTGGTATTTTCATTAACCACATATGCATGCGAAAGCTGGACAGTGAATAAGGAAGACCGTAGAAGAATTGTGTTGTGGTGTTGGAGGAGAATATTGAAAGTGCCATGGGCTGCCAAAAGAACCAACAGATCTGTGTTGGAAGACATGCAGTCAGAGTGCTCCATGGAGGCCAGGATGATCAAACTTCATCTCTCATACTTTGGACATATTGTCAGGAGGGACCAGTCACTGGAGAAGGATATCATGTTTGGTAAGGTCAGAGAAAAAGAGGAAGACCCCAGCGAGATGGATTGGCAAAGTGACAGCATCAATGGGTTTAAGTGTGGCAACAGTTGTGAGGTTGGCCCAGGACCGGGCAGTGTTTTGCTCTGTTGTGCTATGAGTCGGTACCAACTGAATGGCACCTAACAACAACAACAACGAAGTAAGAATACCAATGTGTCTTAATGAATGAATTGGGGAGCAAGAGAATGTGTTTGAGGAAGAAGAGAATAGGACTCCAAATTGGTCTTACCTACTTATCCTTTTCAGGTCTATGTGCACTGATCAACTTTAAAAAAATCACACCAAATCTCCCAAAGGATGAGCTGTCCCCAATTCTTTGACACAATTCCATGAAGATGGAAATATGGGTGTCTTCCTAAGTGGCAGGGAGAAATGGGATATGAAAGAAAAGGAAGGTATTTTATTTTTACCAGTCCACCAGAAGGTCCACCAAAGACTGTCCATGGCAAATCCAGAATGTGGCAGCCTCAAAGCAGCATTGTTGTTGTTACTATTGTTAGGTGCCATTGAGTTTGTACCGACTCATAGTGACACTATGCACAACAGAACGAAACATTGCCCAGTCCTGTGCCACCTCACAATCATTGCTACGCTTAAGCCCATTGCTGCTGCCACTATGCCAATTCATCTCCTTTTCTCCGACCCTCCACTTTACCAAAGCAACTTTGGATATCACCATTATCGTTATGAATTAAACATCATTCTATCAAAATGAACACTTGCCATCTACTATGTGCCAGGCACTCTACCCGGCTCTTTCCATGTGCTATGTCTGCATTAACTCATTCATTCATTAAACAGACATTCATCAGCACCCTTCCTTACCAGGCTCCATTCTAGGTACTGGAGAGACAGCCATGCACAGAGATGAAACATACCAGCGGGGAGAAAATCCAGCAGGTGTAAGGATAGAAGTGATTCACTGAGGCCAGTTTCAGATGGGGAGGTCAGAGGAGGCCTCTCTGGGAAGATAGCTTTTGAACCTGTACCTGAATGAAGTTAGGTAAGTCTGGGTAAGAGAGTTTCAGAATCAGAACAAAGGACCTGCAGCTAATTAATTGGCTTTCTCCTGGTGTGGGGCTGCAGGATCAGCACTGGACTGTGAACCACAGGTAGGCAGTTCAAACCCACCAGCTGCTCCTAGGGAACCCTATACGGGGTGGCTATGAGTCGGAATTAACTCAACGGCACTTAACAACGATCTTTTCTATGAGCTCTTTGCATGAGACAGTTACTGTTCTCAGGACAGGAAGTAAAATTTAAAAACCAGATCCTTTTTTATCAAGTTAATTCTGACTCATCATGTCTCTGGAGGACAGTGTAACTGCTTCCTAGGGCTTCCAAGGATATGTTGTTTACATCAACACTCATGGAAGCAGCAGTCAAGAAATCAAATGATGTATTGCATTAGGCAAATCTGCTGCACAAGACCTTAAGTGTTCCAGAGCAAAGCTATCAGCTTGAGGACTAAGGTGTGCCTAAGCCATGGTATTTTCAATACCTCATATGCATGTGAAAGTTGGACAACGAATAAGGAAGACCATCGAAGAACTGATGCATTTGAATGATGGTGTTGGTGAAGAATATTAAAAGTACCATGGACTGTCAAAAGAACAAACAAATCTGTGTTGCAAGAGCATAACTAGAATGCCCCTTAGAAGCCAGGATACAGAGACTGTCTTTCATACTTCGGACATGTTATCAGGAGGGACTAGTCCCTGGAGAAGGACATCATGCTTGATAAAGTAGGATCAATGAAAAAGAGGAAGGGCCCAATGAGATGGATTGGCACAGTGGCAGCAATAATGGGCTTAATTGTAGCAAAGATTGTGAGACTGGCGCAGGATCAGGCAGTGTTTCATTCTGTTGTGCAGAAGGTCGCTAGAGTCAGTTCTGACTCCATGGCACCTAACAACAGCTTTAGTTACAGGAACAGGCTGCCATATCTTTCTCCTGCAAAGCAGTTGATAGACTGGAACATTGAAAACAATGTTTGTCTCCATGGAACTTACATTCCAATGAGTGGGAACTTGTTTGACAAGTTTAAGATATGCCACAGATCCTTGTTTTCATAGGATATGTCTATTCTCCCAGGAAAACTGAAAAACAAAAAACAAAAAAAAAGGATCAGACCCTCCCCAAGCTCTTGTGTTGTTGTTGTTGTTGTTGTTGTTGTTCGGTGCGTTGACTTGGTTCTGACTCATAGTGACCTTATGCACAACACAACGAAACATTGTTGGGTCCTAAGCCATCCTTGTTAAGCTTGAGCCCATTGCTGCTGCCACTATGCCAATCCATCTTGTTGGGAGTCTTCCTATTTTTAGCTGACCCTCTACTTTATTGTCCACCAGGCACTGGTCTCTCCTGATAATATATGTCAAGGATGAGAGATGGAGGCTCAACATCCTGGCTTTTAAGGAGCATTCTGGCTATACTACTTCCAACACAGATTTGTTTGTTCTTCTGGCAGTCCTTGTTGTTGTTAAATGCTGTCGAGTTGGTTCTGACTTATAGTGGCCCTATGTAGTGTTTCCGAGGAGTGACTGGTGGGTTTGAATTACTGACTTTGTGACTAACAGTCCAGTGCTTATTCTAAAGCACCACACCAGCAGTCCTTGATATTTTTAATATTCTTCTCTAACACCATAACCCAAATGCATCAATTCTTTTATGATCTTCCTTAGTCACTGTCCAACTTTCACATGCATATGAGGCTACTGAAAATACCATGTCTTGGGTCAAGCAAACATTAGTTCACTCTTGGACACATTAAAGAGGTCTTGTGCAGCAGATTTGCCTACTGCAATATGTCGTTAGATTTCTCGGCTGCTGCTTCCATGAGTGTTGATAGTGGATCCAAGCAAAATGAAGACTTTAACAACTTCAAGCTCTTGTAGCCATACCATGTTGTTGTTAAGTGCCATCGAGTTGGTTCCAACTCATAGAAACCTTGTATAGGGTTTCCGAAGAGCTGCTGGTAAGTTTGAACCATCGACTTTGAGATTTAAATGAATTTGCAGTCCAGGGCATTAACCCACAGTGCCACACCATATGAAGGACATTGTCCAAGGGCATCAACCAAACCTAGCCCTCTAGTACTTCATAGGTATTCAGCCCTATGGACTCCCTACTCTCTCATATATTTCAGTGTGACAGACTGAGATAGAAAAGGAGTTCTGTGGGGTGTGAGTGGCTAATGTGCTTGGCTAACTGAAAGGATGCTGGCTTGCATTCATCCAGAGGTGGCTCCGAAGAAAGATCTGGAGATCTACTTCTGAAAAGTCAGTGACTGAAACCCTTATAGACTGCAGTTCTACTCTGACACTCATGGGAATTTTGGTTTTGAAGTCTAGAAAGATGATTCAACTCTCCAGAGGTCATTAAAAAATAGTATATAGTCTTCTGACCTGACTTGGTATTAATATTGGAGAACCAAACTGAAATTACCTCCAGATCCCTTCCAGTCTATGGCATTGCTGACTTTTCTTGGCCACTGACAGCATTAGGTGGTTTGTCTTTCAGCATGGTGGAGTTAGCCAGACTGGGTTAGCGGTTTGCTCAGTCATTTCAGTGTCTCAGGACCAAATACTTACCCTTCTGAGTTACAGTCAGCTCATCTCTCACATGGAGATAATTAAGTCCACCTTTCAGGGTTGTTGTCAGGCTGACATAGGTTAATAGATCTACAGAACCATCACTTACAGAACAGACCCATTATTCAGAGTAGATACTCTGCTCACTGATTAGACCCATCCCTTACAGACCTATCTCTCACAGAGTAGACCCATCACTCAGAGTAGCTCCATGACTTACAGAGTAGACCCATGACTTACAGATTAGACTCATCACTTACAGAGTGGACCCAT